TGGATTTTGTTGTTTTCAATGACCGATTTGAAAGCTCATTGTTTTCACAAGCTAACAAGTGATCAATATAATTGATTCGTTGGACTGACTAAATAATATGTGCGATAAAATAGAACTGAGGAATCAGTGAGAAATATTATCAGACTACATGGGTGTGTATTTCACTTTTCATTGGTGCCGTTGCTCTTATCCAACCAGTTTATCACTACAGTTTACATAACAGAGTGATTGCAGTTAGAGAAGCATGATGTCAGTAAATACCGAATAGCTCGTTTTTCTTCGGAATCGGTTTCAAAGAACTCACTAAACCATTGATTTTCAGTCATTTCGCTTAAGTTCCCCAATTAGGTAGTTTAAACTTTCATGTACGGCTCAGACCAACAGTCTTAAACTTCAGATAATGATAATTTATTGGTTTTGTAACGTCTGGCCTTATGTCAACTGATTATTTTATCTCCAACGTCATGCATCGGGATGGATGTTTATTAGTCATGTGTAATAGGTGTCTCATTCCCTACACCAATGAAGATTTTCTGTCTCATCAATTCGCTTGTCGACTTCATCTATGCCCTCAGCCTAACATCAGCACTGATCACTCGAGATATGTATTTTATACTTTGTAGTCATTAGTGATCAGATAAAGGTAATCTACTCATTTCTTCTATTTTAAGTCCCATGTTTCATAGCTATAAAGTAGACCGAAAAAGTTGTTGCTTGGTACACTCTTCCTTTGGTTAATAGACGAACGTCTCGTTTACATCAGAGGTGATAAGAGTTGACAATATCTTTTTAATGAATATACGAGTATTTAGCCTGTGTCATAGGAGCATTTGACAAAAACTGAAGTGACTGATTTTGTAGATAGTAAATCTGGTAATAAGAATTTGAACATTCTATAACTGATGTGTATGAAGCAAGTGTGTTATGCACACCTAACTACCGATTACTCAAACGTGTAATCCTTGCTAGTATACGAGTACGTTTGAAATATAGATAACACAAATTTATTAATGCATAGTGTATTGGTTGTTTGAATCTTTCCATTGACGTTAAGGAATGCAATTGAACAGTCTCTTATTGGCATGTGTGCACCCTGAGAGGACTACCTCGATATTGCCCTACGCCACAAGCCCTATAAACAGATGGAAACTCAATTCTTGGATTACACTGCTAACCACCGTCCATTACAGCTAATAAATTCACAAAGTTTCTGGATGTTCGTCTGAACAACATATAGAAGCGTCGCTATCCTGGGTAATGGGTTTTGAGATCATATTAACCTATGGTTGAAGACAAACATTTCCTTATCTTCATTCAGACCCGTTTATCTATACACATCGAAAAGTTTCTATAATTTCCAATCTCATGTTTGTTTTCATTATGCAACTGCACACTCACTAGTGACTGTCACCTAGAAATTAATCATTTTTTATCGGCATCAAATCATTAAATGTCTTATGCAAGATACGCCCATTTTAACTATTAGTTTAATCAATTAGTCGATCAGAATATAAAACCTGGAACAAATATGTATCGACCCTAATCACTACAATTCACCTCGAAACTGCACAAGAAAGGAAATCAAATAAATGAAAGGTGAAATAGTGGGAAAACATTTTTAAATACAGTTAAAATGATGATTTTGATAGAAAAATGAAAAGTATGCGATGATATCGAAACACAAGTTACCAGTCAGTCAGCTACAACGTAGGAACAGACATATATATGCATCGGTCCAAGTTACCATACCTCATCAACACAACAAGATGAACACCGGATTCATAGGAGTAGTTAGGTCAATGGTGGTAATATATAAAAGAAAGATTGCATATAAGGATATAGTACAAGAAGAAAGAATTAGTATATAGAAAGAAAGATATGTAGTGATTTTAATCTCATATTTTAAGGGAAGACAGAGAGTATTTACACATACTCCATTGTGATCGATTGTGATCCATGTCATCCAGAGTCTCCAATCATTGATTACGATAGTCACACGGACCCCAACTAAGTAGTCTGCATCTACCAACATGGCTCAGACTAGAAGTTAGTGACTTTGTGGACTGATGCCATACCATCCCCTACACTAGTCAGCACTGTGCGTCATGGCATTCGGTGTTTAGCCATACGCAACACGTGGCCCAACCATTTCAGTCGATGAAGATTCACAACCTCAACAACTGACTTACTATCATTCCCTAATACTCTGCGTCTAGCCTCAGTATTACTTACCCGGTGATCCCAGGGGATGCGAGCAATATTTCTAAGACATCTGTGGTCAAATATTAGTAGCTTACGAATATCTACTCAGCAATATTATCATGGATTCTAAACTATGTCAGGCAACGTTTCCGATCATAAGAATAATATCATCTCGTGAATCAACCCATCTGGAAATTTACACATCTCTAAACAGTTCAAATTATTAATCAGTGACTTATAGTTGTATAAAGTCAATGTTTAAACGCTTCCCTAACTACCATCATATCTGTAATCAGTTGAAATTCGAAGTATTGTCTTGTGAACTTGATGCTAAAACACAAATATCTGAATTGTGAAATTTGACCATTCAACTAATTAATTAAATATTATGAATAAAGAGATAAATAGAATACTTCTAGTCAACTTATAATCCTTGAGCCATTTACGGTCATGAGTAATATATACGAACATATCTGATGAATTGGCTTTGTTCACAGGATCTGTTAACCAGCTCCATAGTGTAAAAGAAAAACAACCTAAACAATACAAATAGAATTTATGATTAATAAGAGTTTGAACTAATCCGTTGTTCATTATTTATTATTTTATTTTATTTTTATTTGAACACATAAATATTGGTACAAGAGGGCACCAAATATATATGCGCCACACAAAAAAATGAGAATTTAAGGGGAAGGAGAAAATAAAGAGATTGATGTAAGGTAGTGTAATAATAATAATAATAATAATAATAAACGAAAAGGTACAATCAGAAGAAATCTTTCAGTTAAGGGAGACAGAACCACTTTTTATGAAGAAAGTAAAAGGTTACAGCACGATCGCCACTGGCTTCTATTCTGAGCCATATCTGATAACGTCTCTAGCCACCGTGTAGCACCATCTCTCGGACCCCAGCCAGGGAGTCGTGAAGGACCAACACAAGCCAGTCCTTAACAGCTTTCTTTCATGCCACGACACCATGTCATGCACTGACCACCTCTCCGCTTCTTCCAACCAGTCCCAGAGTCGGCAAATAATGCACGACGTGGAATCCTCTAGGACGACATTCGTAGAACATGTCCAAGCCACCGAAGTCGGTGTTTCAAGATGGTGACACCAATTGCATTATCATCTCTGTGCCCTAACACACGATGCCGAACCTCTGCATTACTAACATAGTGTTGCCACTGCATGTCAGCAATCCTTCGGAAACAATGATCAAACACAGAGAGTCGTCTAACGTCCTCAACTCGGATAGACCAGGTTTCACAAGCATAGAGCAAAACTGCTCTCACCGACGCGTTGTAGATCCGACCTTTTACAGCCAGACTAACATCACGAAGGCGCCAAAGGTGGCCCAGATTGGCATAAGCCGCTCTGGCTTTCACTATACATGCATTGATCTCATCACTCACACCCCCACCAGCACTCATACAGCTACCCAGATACACGAACTTCTCGACTATTTCTATCTGCTCCGTTGTTGAAAGTTAGGATTGATGGAATTTCAATTTAGGAAAATTTGTCACAAATTTCTAACATGAATAGATACTAATATAATTATAGAAATATTCCTTTCATTTATATTGTTGCTATTCATAATTGATATAATGAAATCGATCAAAAATAAAATTACAAAACTATCAAGGATATTCTATAAAGCTATGAATCATAGAAAAGATCGAGAACTAGGTGAAATTTCTTTGAATGGAATGAATAATTATTGGAACTCAGTGAGAAATACACAAGTTTCCTATACCTCTTGTAACAATAATTTATAAATGACTTATAAATAGACATACATATATCAGACGAAAAAATTCGCTAAAAATTTCCTTCAGACACACTAGTCATTTATTTGGTTTTGGCAATATACAATTTTAACTAAGTCCCATCCCCATATGTTAAGGGGTTAGAACAAACACTGATTATTAGACGAGGTAGCGTGAAAAATTAGAAAAAACGTTCGCCAGTACTCGAGGCTGATTTTTTTCATTGAGACTTTGTGTTACTGAAATACTTTGTTTTGTCCTAATTTTTCATTGGCTAAGGTACCCCAATGGTTGTTGAGAGAACCATATAGAGACACGTAGCGGTTGGTGTGTCTAGTTATGTGTGTATATTCACAACAATTAAGCCTTGACAGAGAAAGAGAGAGAAAGGAGGGACCACGTACAATGAATTTAGCCTTATCCAAGATGGCTCTCTCATTTTATTTGTCTCTCATTCACTAGTTGTTTTCATGTCTGTAACAAACATGCCCGAAAAATTAAACAACAGGCTCCGCGGCCTAAGTGCGGTCATAAGCTCAGGTTAGTAAAGCAAGAGACCACGTTTTATGATTGGTTAAAATTAACTAACTTAGCATAAACCAATCAGAATGATAAACTGCGACCTGCAGTTCGATTTACCGACCTTGGTTTTTCTTTCGTCCTTTGTAAACTAGCTGTCACTAAAACATAAAGAGGGTAGAGAATAGAAGGAGAATTATTTGGACCCCTCATTTAATTTTAGGGCGTGAACAATTTTATTTTCCCATTTACAGAGAAAACTAATCTGCCTTATTGCCCCGCGTGGGTGATACATGATAACACTAATGAAATGTTCGATTTTTTAAACTGGTTAGATACCCTCACATGAAACCAATGATTGTAGACTTTCTATGCTTGGATTTAACTGTTATTATTTTTAAACAATATTTCAAATATCCTGTAACTCGGATTACAAATTAGCATTTGGAGTTTTACTAAAAATACATACAACTATATTTGTGGATATTATAAATCAAAATCACAATCATGCTTCATCGACCTACTCTCATGCCTGCATCAATGAAATCATCCTCAAAATTCAACTTATCTACTAATTCAAAACATTCATCTCAATCAAGTAAAATAGAAAGTCCAGAATTGATTCAACTACTTAACTGTGGTGATGATGATGATGAAATAGTTATTGTAGAACCTACAGATCCAGATGAAGATCGTATGAAACAGGGAGATACAACATTTGATGATGTATTAAACAAAGAACAAGAAGATTATGCGGAGGAAGATTACAATGGGAATGATGGAGATATGAATTCAGATGACTCTCATATGAAAGGTGAATCTCACATCCCAGTGTCGAATATTAAAGTGGATGAAGCCACTGGAAATGGAACTCCAGTGACCGTAACCACAGATTCGGTTAAACCTATTGGAATTTTACCTCTGAATGATGTGATTCACAATTTACTCACATGTACACCACATGTTGCTCCCACCATACAAAATGTTGCACTTCAACCTATACTGTCGGGTAAAATGAATGGATCGGGAAGTGTGCAAATGCCGAATGTTGTTTCCAATGCATTGCCTACATTGTGGCTTCATTCTCCTGTTGTGAATTCAACGGAAATGATGAGTATGCCTAATGTGAATAGTGTGACAGATTTGACGAGTAATATTGTACAGAATAGTGGGACTGCACTGAATCCACTTGTTGCTGCTGTGCTTGTGAATTGTGCCACAGTGAACATGATAAGTCAGCTAGCTGGATCTATGTGTACTCCGCTGGTGAACAGCAGTATGATCGATGGTAATGTTAATGGTAGTAATGTGAACAACAATAGTGAGCACACTAGTAGTGCTTGTAGTGTTAGTTGTGGTAGCAGTGGAGTCAACACAGTAACAATCCCTACAGCGTCATTACTTCCCAATTTGTTATCTGCCATTCCTTTGTCTACGTATATATCGGGATTAGGACTGAATACAACTGGAGGTATAATTACTTCACCAAATAGTTTGTGTAATGTTGGTGTTACTAGTACAGCTGTCTCGTCTGCTGAAACCCTTAATAATAATAATAGTAATAATAATAATAATAATAATAATAATAGTAATAATAATAATAATAATAATATTGGTGGTATGATTGTGACACCATCGAATGTTGAGAATATTACAGTTTCTTTATCATCTGATCGAAGTTCTAGTCAAGCTGAATACTTACATGTGTCTGACGATAAAAACACTCAGCGTCCTGTTGGACGTGTTAAACGCTTCAAATGTCCTATGGTTAATTGTCAAATGTCATTTCACAGTAGATTCAATCAAATGGAACATATACGTACACATACTGGTGAGCGTCCATTCACTTGTCCAGAACCTCATTGTACTTCAACATTTAAACGTAGACGTGATCTTCGTGATCATTGGAGTATGCATCTCTTAGATTGCCCACCATCAGCTACATTGACTGAAGAAGAATTCAATAAAGCATTGAAAGAAGCTGATGAAAAATATAACGCAATGTATAATTGGGAAACGTTCAATGTAAACGCTTCAGTTAATAAAGATAATATTACTGGTAGTAGTAATAATAATAGTAATGACAACAATAATGATGTAAATACTGTAAAGTCCGAATCATCTCAGTCATCCGTGGTAATTCCTGACCCCAGAGCACTGTTTAACATTAAGTCTGTTAGTGAATTGGGTAGATATCATTGTACATATCCTGGATGTGATAAATCGTATGCTAGACGGCATCGCTTGAACCAACATATATCAACACATACTGGGACTGGTCCGATACCGTGTGATGCACCGAATTGTAATGTCAGGTACTTTTCAGAAGAGGATTTAAAGAGGCACAAATTATCTCATCTTTATGCGGCTGATAAGGATTCACGGCGTCGACATGCTTGTACATATGCTGGATGCGGTAAAGCCTATTCAAAGCTAAACAAGCTCAAAGAGCATTTACGATCACATACAGGTGAAAGGCCCTACGTCTGTCGTGAACCTGGTTGCGGTGCTGCATTCATCCGACTATACGGTGTTAAACGTCATGAATTAACACACGTATTCGGCCGTAAACGTGCTGAAAGACTGTCTCAAATCCCTAACACTAATGGTATGACAGGGACTAGTTTTGATATTTCTGACCCAAGGTTGGATATTCAGAACAATCCAGAAATAACTACTAGTTCACCATATATCTTACCAAAGCCGGAACCATTGGAAACAAGAAATGAGATATCGATAGCACCAGCTGTTATGAAAAATCGTCCTCTCCCAGCTATTGCACCAAAATCGAGTGTATCTCTTCCGATGCGTCCGATTTCTCCTATAAGTGGGAATCCAGGAATGAGACGACCACATATCTGTCCATTTAAAGAATGCGGTAAAGCATTCCCAAAACTGAATAAACTGCGTGAACATATATGTCGACATACAGGTGAACGGCCATTTGTGTGTGATCAGTGTAAAGCTTCATTTGTCCGTATGTATGATTTACGTCGTCACAGCAATATCCACATTCGTGGTGCACAACCAAGAAGTTTGTCACGTTTTCTCACAACTCCACAACAAACAAATGAAACACTTAAATCTATTGTCACAAACAGTCAGATTTCTGTCAGTACTGCTCCCAATACTGCTACTATTACTACTACTCACACCACTTATACTACTACTGCTACGACTAATACTAATACTATTCCTACTGCTATTACGACAGTTTCTGCAGCTGGTCTTATTTCAGATACTACAAATTCCACCATCTCTACTGTTCCTGTTTCGATCAGTATTCTCAAAGTTGGAGAAGAGTCAGAACTAATCAAAATGGAAGAATTTATTGAACAATCAACAAGTCTACAACCATGTGATACTGATGATCAGGTAACAGATTGTATTGATAAATAGTGTCACTCACCTTGGATCGTTTGATTTTGACGATTATTTAATATAAACGGAATGATCGATAACATTTTTGTACAAAAAATTATCCACTATTAGTTGTCGCTGACGATGCAGTAATAATGATTGTAGTTGATTCATTAATTTGTAGTGCTTTTTTTACAAATGCCATTCATTCATTAACCAACCAACTATTTGTATGTTCACCAATAATTAGTATTATCATTTTTTTTTTTGGTATTTCATGTGACCTTGTAATTTCATTGACTTGTTTTTCATTTGATTTTATCGATAAATTAATGTCTGATTTTAATTTCTTGCCTATCATAAAGTATTGATTATTTCTTGATTCATTCTTGACAGTCATAACTGGTTTCTTACTGATATATATATATGCATTACGATGTCATTATTTCTTGATATCGTTTGGAATATTTCACAATGTGAGAATCCAACCATTATGTAAGTGATGTAGTCTTAGCCAACTTGATGTAGTTTCATTCAATTTGTAGGTTGTATTCTTTTTAGATTTATCTTAATTGGCGTACTATTGGAAACGAAGGAGTAGTGGATAACAGTTTCGTTTTAGTATGGGACACCTCGACAAAACCCATCTACGACCTCATTAGATATAGGAGGCGTAACCTTCAAATCTTGTGATGCATGTTTAAAGATTAGAATTACCAGGTTACCGTTAAGTGCTGTGGTTACGACTTCAGTCAATTTTTTAGTGTTAAAATTATTCAATGCTATTTGTGTAAAATCCACAAACCCTGTACAAAGATGGGTAGTGATTGTGTATAACCTTATGTGGTGTTGTTATTGATTTTTAGCCTTTGTCGATCTCTTATACGAGTTACTTTGGTTGGATGACTCATAGTTTATTGACCTCTAGATTGGTTCATTTGTAATATTTGTTAAACAGATGACCTTCCTTAATGGGTGTATCGTATTTAATGTGAATTATATATGGTCAGGACTTCGGTTTTTAAAAAAAATAGAGCTTGGTATTTATGCTTAATGCTTTTATGGATATGTACACGTACAATGAAGACATTTTAAATTCTTGATATATCACTGGCAATTTACTACTTTGTTACTCCTCAAGCCATAGTAGAGTATTTTACGGAATGAACGATATAAAATTTTAAAAGACAGTTATGGGAGTGGTTGAGGTGGCGCTTCTATATGACTCTCGATGATTTTTGACGTAAGAAACTTTGAATCTACTATTCAACAATTGAAATTCGAGTTATTTAACTTCAGTGAACTACAGCCCATACATTTGTTCAGCAGTTTTGTTTGCTTTAAATAATGTTAAAAACATCATGGTGTATTGCAGAAAAAAATACTTCGAAGAATTCAACAATAAGTTCCCTTGTATAGTCTTGTTTTCCTTTATATTCAGTTTGTTGTATAAGTTACATTATGAAACAATTTTCTGGAGTGGTTGAAGGCAGTCTACAGGCGACCCTAGATTTAGGACTAGACAAAGATTGACCAATACGTAGTGATCAGACAGTCCTACAGGAGGTCAGTTAAGGCCCGAATAACCCAGTGGTAACGTCTTAGATTGAGAAACTGGGTGACAGTTTCAGATCCACCAGTGTGGACCTGTTCCCTCAAGATCCCACATATGCCTTGGTAGCTATTACTGGCTAGTATGCAACTTAGATCAAGTGGGGTTTTTACTGCTGACTATCTTCAACGACCTAACATTTCGGCATAGTGCATGCGATGTTCAGTCGTTTAAACTAATGATTACATTGTTACTTGGTCTATAACACTTGATTACCATTAGGGAATAGTTAAACATGACATCGGTCACTAGTCAGTGATCAGTTTACTGTTATTCAGTGAGTTTCATAATATTAACTAAACAATTACATTTTTTTCAAGTTTTTCTCTATTATGATTCGTTTGGTAGTTTCAAGTACTTTGACTCTGTTGATCGTGAGGTTCTATGGCAGTGTTTGTCACTAAAAGGAGTACCAAAGAAGTACATTAACCTTATACAGGCTCTCTACTTGAACACAACTGGTCGAGTGAGAGCTTATGGCGAACTTTCATCAGAATTGATTACCTCAAGTGGTGTTCGTCAGGGCTGTCCACTGTCTCCATTCTTGTTTAACTTTGTCATTGACGTGCTTTTAGAGATAACACTTTCCAGAGGTTGAACTTTATTAGGAGATTCACTTGTTGACTTAGAATATACCGATGACATAGTTCTATTTGGTGAAGACGCTGACAAAATGCAGAGTCTTCTGACCACTCTAAGCAACAATGCAAGCATGTTCGGTATGTGATTCATTCCCTCGAAATGCGAAATGTTGCTTCAGGATTGGGTTGCATCGACACCCGAACTAATGATAGGGAGTAAAGTAGTTGAGCGTGTCTATCGCTTCACTTATCTTGGAAGTCTCATCAGCCCTTGTGGTCTGGTGTGTGACGAAATCTCAGCATGGATACAGAAGGCTCGACTAGCTTTTGCCAACTTGCGTCATTTATGGCGTAGGCGAGACATCCGTCTACCAACCAAAGGACGTTCGTACCGTCCTACTTTATGGCAGTGTAAAATGACCGGCAAGAGTAGAGAATATTCGTAGGTTATTAGTATTCTATCATGTGTCTTCGGAGCATTGCTTGTGTATCCTGGGACCATCGATTAAGTAATGCAGTTGTTAGAAAACGGGTACTAGGTAAGGATGGCAAATCGATTGATGAAGTGATGAAACTTCATCAGTTAAGATGGCTGGGACACGTGTTACGTATGCCCAACCACCGACTGCTCCGACGAGTGATGTTTTATGGATTAGGAGTAGGTTGGAAGAAAGCTAGGGGGGAGGCCACACCAAAACATGGCACAATTCGATGAAGTCACTGACAAGTGGACTGAGTTATGTTGGTAGGTGTAGACTACCTGGTTGGGGACCGCGAGATGATAGCAACCGATGGTTAGAGACCTTGAAAGTGACATGGCTCAAAGTCGTTTGCAATAGTGCAGGTGCATCAACTCTTTGTGTTCTACAGAACTCTAATCTTCTGAATTCTTCATGTCCCTTTCCTTTTTCTTCTTTGCAAATTTATTTAACTGGATTATACTCCTTGAATAACATCTTCAAATCCTAATCTTTCCGATTACTGCTTATACTCTTACTACTCCTACCACTATGGGATTTGAAGTGACAATTGTATCTCTGTGCTAATGTGGTATGGCAACTCGAAGTCATGTACGTACGTACGAAGTTCGACGTTGTCGTTATTGACTGACTGAGTTTCAAGTAGTTGTTTGAATATACCGAAGATATGAGAAAAAAACAAACCAATGAACATTTATAACAATTTTACTAAGTCATATAATATTATGGATGGTGAATTTTATATTAACAAGATTAACTCATTTGGATAAACAGCAATGTTGTAGTGTGATCAATGGGAATTCGTCATGTAGAAAGAAATGTTAAAGTGCAAAGAAATATTTAAAAAGTGTTAATTTATACTGTGGTTAGGAAAGGTATCCAGACTTTCATGTGAATATGCTTTAAATTTCTGAAAAGCCTAACTTTAAATGAAGTAAACAAAGTTATTTACTTTAAGACCCTACTACCTGAATCGTCAGTAAATGTAAGTTGCATTTTTTCATATATTGTGACAATTTTATGCTTTCATTTCGGTTATCTTCGCGAATTCCCATTTCCTATTCAACTTTATGAAAAGGTTAAAGTCAGGTCAAATATGAAAGACGAATGATGTTTTCCTACAGTTTATATATGCCTTGGTACGGTCGAGAGTGGGGAGAGTCCGCTCTCCCTCTCGAAATGCTCTCGCATGGCCACGCGTATATAGCTTCTGCCAGGGAAGTCCTACTCACTGCCTTCTCGTGGCGGGGGTGTTGTTTACGAAAATGAGAGGACGAAAAGCGAATGTCCGGCGCTTTAACCGGATTCTAAATCAATGGTGCACATGGGCTCCAGTATCCTGCGGGAACAAATGGTGTATGAACCAATTGTTGGTCACCGGCTTCCATGGGACTGCATCTCCTTACGATGCTCCACTGCCTTGTGGATCAGACCTTCAAGTCGAAGGCTCGGGGTGTGGCCCCCTAAGAAAACCACCTGCTTCTGTTTGGGCACCCGGGCAGTATCACAGCTCTCATACACATCGAATGAGATTTATGTGGCGCATATGTATTTGGTGCCTCTTTGTACCAATATCTATGTGTTAAAATAAAAATAAATTATAGATACAGAAGTATGTAAGCTCATCGACTAGTCATACCAAATAGGTTCATTGTGAGCTATTGTTTGTAAATAAATCAATTAAAATACATTGTTCACTGTTAATGGAGAGTGCGATATGCTTTTTAGGGGATTTTAATAAATCCAATTTACACTCAAAATTGGTTGACTCATTGAATAGTTATTATCTACAAGGTTGTCTCAATTTCTGAAAAGCAAACATGGAACCTATTTCTAATAATCTAATGTATTTTATAATGCATAAATAAGGGTGTGTCGCTTGTCGAACACGATGCTAACATGTTTATGGATTTTTCTAAAATACATGGAAAGATATTTAGAAGTCGATGACGTTTGTCTGAACTCCATCACCACTTAATTATCCAATATTTAAAATTACTATTCGATAAGTATGACTTCAAATGATTGGGACTTTGTGAATGAGTGTTAAAACCGATTAATCATTGTACAACGTAAAAAAAAACTAGTTCAGCACACTGACCAACTATTCTATGTAAGTACTAGTATACAGTTCTAGAAAATTTCAACCTCATTTTATCTACATTCTTATTTACCAGTACTAAATAAAGTATTTACATCGGAAGAACGAAGAGGAAAGCTAGCATATCGAAACACATCCCACAACAGTTGAAATTTCAAAATCGTCCAAAATAATCAATACTCAAGCCACCTCGAATTTACTATGTTTATCAGTGGTTAAAACCGAATCTATGCATTACAAAACATACTGTTGTAAATTTCGCACTACCCTGGTAACTTCTAGCTTATTATAGTTTAGTCGTGTAATATTCTATTTCATGTTCTAAATTACAAATTCTTTTCATTTCTACGTCATTAATTTTAGCTTTACTCATTTTACTCTTGATGTGTCCAGTTTTACGGTTGTTGTTACGTAACTTGTAACGTCGATTTTCATTTTCATTTTATGGAAACCTGTCTCTATATGTTTTAGAATTTTCATATTTGGTCGTATAAATATTCATC